GGACGATTTATAAAGATTAAGGANAATTTATAAGGTTATTTAAAGGTGTATAAACAATCAAAGAGAAACGAGTTATACACCAGTAACGTTAATNTCATATGTTTATAAACAATTTATAAGGTTTTTTAAAGGTTTATAAACATTATTGTCAATCAAAGAGAAACGAGTTATACACCAGTAATGTTAATCTCATATGTTTATAAATGATTTATAAGGTTTTTTTAAAGGTTTATAAACATGATTGCCAATCAAAGAGAAACGATTTATACACCAGTAATGTTAATCTCATATGTTTATAAACGATTTATAAGGTTTTTTAAAGGTTTATAAACNTGATTGTCAATCAAAGAGAAACGATTTATAACTTAATTGGTAATGAATTAAGCTTGCTCAACCGCNTGTAATACTAATCTCATATATTTTATAAACAATTTCTAAAGTTTTTTAACAGTTGTAAATTGATTATAAAGAGAAACAGGTTATTACCTTAATTGTAAAAAAGAATCATGACTTCAGCGGGAGCGAATTCCGATCACAAAGAACCTCCGCTTCAGCGACAGCAATTTTTCCAGAAAATCCAATTTCCCAGAAAATCCAAATTTTTCTCTGTGAGAGATCGATCGAGAGAATCTCGATATCGATATCGCAGAGAGATCTCTCTGTGTGAGAGAGAAGAAGAGAGAGATCGAGATTCGATCTAGATCGCACAGCGAGAAAGAGATCAAGAGAGAGAAAGAGAGAGAGATCGATATCGCAGAGAGATCTCTGTGTCTGTGTGAGAGAGGAGAAGAGAGAGATCGAGACGTACAGCGAGAGAGAGAGATGAGAGAGAGGCCAGAGAGAGGTCCGAGAGAGGTTGTTTTTAGAAAAGGGTAATATTGGAATATAAAAAAACGAGTGTGGCATTTTTGTAAAAGAATCAAAAGAGTGGCATTTTTTTAATGTGGCATGGAACATGTGGCATATTCCAAAATTCCCCTACAATTAAATACGTGCCTTAGCACGAGTACTAACCTAACCTAGTATATATTAATTGAGAAGATATAAGTGAAAAAAAAAATATGTGTCGATCAAAGAGCATTTTAGGAAACACGTCATTTAATTTAATCAATCAAAATATTTCAGTTAAAACAATATGTCATGGTAGAAATCTATACATATTATCATTAATTATAAAATAACCTATTAATACATGTTTTATAAATTTAAACCCAACTATTCACCCAAAAAAAATTAAACCCAACTAAATATAATATTTTAGATTTATCATATCAATGTTTTCATAAAAAAATTGATATGTTAACTAGTTCTTTCAAAAAAAAATTAAAATATTTTAATTTGGTGTAAATCTAGTTGTAGTATTAATTAAGTAAATATTATTCGAACATTTTATAGTTAAAATAGCAATAGAGTAACTTAAAGGAGTCATTAAAGGTGGAAAGGGGAGATGCGTCTAGGGATTGCTTCGACTTTACGTAATGCTATAAAAGTAAAGGTGTGAGGAACGAGTGTTTATTTTATTTGTTTTCTACTAATAATAGTAGTTTTTAAGAACTTAATTTCAATTGCCAAATACAATCTCATTTCATAAAACTAAGATTTTTTGGGATAAAAACTGATTCATCCACCCTTTATTAAAAAAATAACTGATTTATCCAGATTTCATGATCGTAATAGTATGGATTTTTGCCCATAAATAAATGAAAAAGTCATTATTAACTACACCAAATATTTGCTAATATGTTGCAAACCATCCCAAGTATAGAAATGTGTTCTAAACTACACAGACTATTATATAGTATATTGTGACTTACACTAACTATATGTAAACATGTTAAAAAAACTACAAATTAGTGTTTTTTATAAATATTTATTAATTTATGGGTCAATTTGTAATTATTTTCATAAAAATAGAAAAAATAAAAAAAAATTAAAACTTACAAAATTTAACAAATTGAAAGAAAAAACCATAAAATTTTAGAAATATAGGGAAAAATAATAATTAAATTTATAAAATCCCAAAGTTTCTAAATTTACAAAATTCGAAAACAACAAAATAATTTCAAAACATTAAATTTACGAAAATACATAATGTGAAGGTTGATATAAATATTTCATTATATTTTCAAATTTAATTTCGGAAACGAAATTAACTTCTTAAATTACCAAAATTTATAATAATACAAAATTTCAAAAAAATATAAAAAACTGTTTTTTTAAACTTGTATAGTGTAGATAG